TGAACAAGTTGTTTCATTCGGAACTGACGAGACAGTCTGCTTACATTGAGACGGTTAAAGTCGCCAGCTAAAATTATTCCACACCCAGGATAATGACCTTCTATGTCCGTAAGAGACTTTGCAAGGTATTCCAACATCATGTTATTGTCCGAACTTGGGGGATGATATAAGGTACCAGTAATTATACATGGGAATCCTCGAGGAAGTCTGGTCGGTCTAATTTTAACCCAAAGAACTTCAGTTTCGGCGTTGTGAAAGTGATCTAAAATTTCGTAACTGATCGAGTTCCTCAAGTATAAACAAACGCCACCGTGACTACCAGAGGATCGGTTTTTACAAACAACGTTATATTCGGGAATATTGATATGGCTTTTATCGATAGCATTTGTAAGCCAGGTCTCTGTGATAAATACTACATCGGGATTTTTGCTCAGAAGGAAAAGACTGACTTCGTCGATTTTGGGAGCAAGAGACATCACATTGGTTAACATTAGGCTTGGGACAAACTCTTTAGACGGCGTCTCTTTCAATAGTCGCGAATCGGTTGAGGTTTCTCCAGCAGGGATTGGGAAAATGTTACATGTATTAGGCACGCTATTAATATGATGCGAAGATATGCTAATTTTGCGTTTGTTATTGTGACCATGAACGTGAATATAGTTCCGTGTCATATTGCGTATTTTAACTTTTCTTCCACTGCGGCGACCGCGGAAAGGTTTTAAAATGCCAAGGGTACGAATGTAATTATATATCTTGTGGTCTATATGCTTCGACAAAGGCGAAAGGCAACAAATTATCAACAAATCAGGGCGATACGTATCAGCTGATATTATAGACGGACTTAGAGGGCAGATATTATTGATGGACCAGATATTACTGACGGACGTAGAGGGCAGAATCGTTCACAGTTTGCAAGGTTATAATAACAATAATAATAATAATAATAATAATAATAATAAGTTGGGCTTTATTTTTAACAGCAGCTTTTTCATGGCCTCATTCGAAACACTCATATGTATGCTATTGAAGTACAACTTTTTAGATATAAACTTACAATGATAGGATAATGCAGAACGTTTTTACTTTACCTTACTCGAATTAGAATAGGTGGAAGATTGTCCATAGGTACTTTTTAAATCACTTTAATTGCAGGAATAAAAGCAACAAATGGTTTACGAAAACTATTTCTCCTGGGCAAAATGTTTTACGTTCTCTATACCAGTCAAACCTGTGCAGTTTGACCTGATGAATTCTTTTGACTATGTACGCTATACATATGACCATAAATGGCAATTGATAAATTCCAATCTGGACACGATGGTAAATTCAAGTTAGAGCATAGGTAGCCCAGGCATACACACTGTGCTATTTAAATTTAAATGCTTGACATACTTAATATACCCTCTGCGGTATCGATTTCAAAATAATAATGTTAACGATCAGCTCAAAAACATTCCAAATTTTTACACTAAAATGTATCACTAATCAATGCTTATCGTTGAAGGAAATATACTTAGGTACATAGCATGCGCATGCATCAACATAAATAGTTTATACCTTTAGTAGAAGCACTTGAAATCCAGCTTTAAAATCATGACATTCACGGCGACGCAGCGGAGGAGGGAAAAGGAGACCTCCTCCGGAAACCGGAAACCTTTTCAGGCTTTTTAATTAGGCCACTAATTAGGTTTAAAAAAAAATTGCATATATATTTACAGTGAAGAGTAATTATTGAAGTAAGACCTAAAAGTATATACTATTTAATTGCAAACTTGAATTTTGGCGGAAATTGTACGCCATAGTCCTCGTAACCAGACTCACGCAGAGGCACAATCTTTACTCTATGTCAGAGGAGTGCATTTTACATGACGCCACGGATTCTATACTCAAGTTACCATGAGTTAATTTTGGGGCATACCCATCACATTTAAAATTTAAATTTGCAACAAGAAATCCTGAGTGTTGGGTTACATTATAGTTAAGCGATAAATTGGATCAGATTTCAGTAGACAACAAGGCATGACAAGGAAAGCACGCTTCATAATATGCGTATATACAATTATTTCATATTTATTACAGTAATACACAGTGGCGTACCAGCAAACAAAAGCAGGGATTTTTGAAGACCAGACTATAATATCGTTGGGTTGTGATCGCAGCGTTATATCATGTATGACCTCCTTCTTTTCTATGAGTAAATTTAGATAGATAGATAGATAGATAGATAGATATTTATTTGCCCACAAAACTATATATATATATATATATATATATATATATATATATATATATATATATATATATATATATATATATATATATATATATATATATATATATATATATATATATATATATATATATATAAGGCCCCTATTTTTCAATAACCATGAATAAAGAGCAATATACTATTTACAAACAGAAATAATAGTGAAAAGACAAAAGAGATAGATTAATTTACAATATTTACATCAATCAGATACTAAATAATATAATTTTGCTTTTTTCTTAAAAGAGAGATATGAATTAGTATTTTGATGTCTTCATTAATACTATTCCATAGAGAGACGCCTTTGTTGAAGACAGTATATTTGCGGTAATTCGTTCTTTTGCAGCTAACGTGTGACTTGGTGGAATTACGTGTATTATAGCTGTGAAATTCATTATTTTGCTTAGAGTAATTACTATAGAAGTCAATGGTAAATTTTGACAATAATTAAGACGATACATGAATATACTACATAGATAGTCATTAATTTTGAAGATGTTCAGAATTTACTCATCACATTTGTGTAGCTGATGCTGTTTACTCAATATTTCTTACTCAAACATTTACCGGTGTAAAAATACTCGAACAATGAGTGACCAGTACATTCTACTCACATTGAGTAGGTTCGCAACTTAACTCAGCTTTGAGTAAGTCGATCAGTTTGGAAAGCCTATTAACTTAATGTTAGAGTAAAACATCATGTTTACTTTAGAATAACGAGTAAACATGAAGCAACGCAATTGTTTGAGTAAACTACCATTCATTATTTACTCAAATGAGTAATTTTACCGATTATATCACTGCGTGGACGATAGTGGTTTACTCAAAATATTTTACTGTGTTTGGGTTTGAAGTTATACTCAGCATATTCGAATAAAAATACTCAAACTGAGTAAACATTGCATTTTACGCAAACTTATGTGTTAAATAATTACTCAAAGCGAAAAACGCATTTTCTGCAGTGTGGGTACTTACTTTAGCAAATTGGTATTACTGCCTCCCTGGGGAAAAATTATGTGTACGGCCCTGCATGGCGGATTCGATTTATGCTTAGGACAGCTATGATGCATCGTTTATCCTTACTGTTATGTTATGCTCATGTTCAGTCTTGCTGATGAGTTTCTCTTCTTTAGATTAAGCTCTGAAACTGTGAATACGAAGGTAGGCAGTTTCACACCTGCGAAAGCGAGGTATGCGTCTCACTTTTACCTTCAAGATCCCAAGTATAAAGGAGCGTGTTACACTGGAATGTGGTTGTCTGGAAAACCTCATGGGCAGTAAGTTATCCTCTATAAAACTACATGTCTTGGAAAATATAAATTTCAGTTTGGATCTTCAGTGCTGTAGCTGGAAAAGCCTGGAATCTCTAGGCCAGGGGATTTCGGGAATCTGCATGGCTGGCCCTAGGAAAGTCTAAAGTTTCTTAGAACGGACTCAACTGAGGAATATTTTACTATTTTAGTGATTTTACATCACATAATTTGTGACTTGTGAGGATGAGAATTCAGAAAATATCATATATAATACACACTGAGGAGAATATTTGTGCAGAAGAATTAAATCTTAGCATTGAAGCATTCATATTTGATCATTTCAATCGATTAAGTTTAACTGACAACTGTGAACTGTTACATGCAGTTCGGATCTTCAACAGTAATCACTATTTATTACTATTGACTATTCAACAGCAATGTGTTGACTTTTTTCAGTTAGTTTCATTTAATCATTGTAATAATCATTCTTAATTTCTTATCAGTATAAATTTTTGCTTGTAATTTTGTCTTGGCCCAGCACACCTGGGAGGATTTTCTACAGGCATGGTTCAGGCCAGTATAGCTCAGTGGTTCAGGCATGGTATGAATATTCAGGGGGTGCAAAAAAATCTCAAAAAAATCATGGAAGAATATACAGAATGCTGATGGCTTGAACACGACGAACAGTTTAAAACTGATACTGATTCTTTTTTTATTTTTTTCTCGTGTTCATTATTAATACCTTTGTTTCAGTGGCAAATTGGTGTGGGCGTCGACAGCACAAACTTATGAAGGAGAATTTAGGAACGGTTTATATAACGGGTAAGCAATTATTATTTTTGTGTTTATTAAAATTAGCCTATAATTCCCATTATAGGCTAATTTTAAAACTAGGCAAGGAGATGCAAATAAATCACCACGGCTAGAACGAGCATACTAAAATGAGTAAAATCGCAAAGTTTGGTTGCGAAATGTTGTGAAATGCGGAAAATATAGCCTTGCAAAGTTTGCAAATTTTGTATACTGTACTTTTGTATTGCGTGCGGAAATTGGGTTATCGTTCCATGTTTCGCGCACCAATATATAGGTTATAAGGTTAGGGGTTAGGAGTGATTGATTGATTGATTGTGAACTTTATTTACCCACGGTAGACTTATCAGGATTTTACATAAAATATGATAAGAGAATACAATATAGTTACAGATTACAGAATATAAAAGTTAATTAAGATACTAATTATGTATACATACTATACTAATACTAATTATATATTACAAGAATACCTGTTTTCCATAAGTGCCGTGCTAATATATTAATATAAAAATCTAAAATTATTGACTAATGTATAAAGTTGCTGCAGTCTGACTTGAATTTACGTAATGAGTTAGACTGTCTCAACTCAACTGGAAGGGAGTTCCACAGCACAGAACCACTATAGCTAAAACTATTTTTCAGGTAATTTGTGCGTGGTTGAGCTAAAGCTAATTTTCTACTGGTGTCTCTCAATGTATAATTTGTTACGCTACTTCGATCAACAAACATTTCAGACAGGTAGTCTGGCACAAAACCACTAAGAGATTTATAGACCATTATAGCTTTGGCAATTTTTCGCTGAGATTCAAGGTTTTTCCAGCTCAATTTTTCAATTAGATATTCAGCATTTGTATCATAATTAGATGAAGTAAGGGGCGGACCATTAGAAAAGTGATGGGGTGGGTGGGGAAAAAACAAAAAAAAGTTCGTCCAAGGCAAATTAACTTTAAAAAAAATTCCTGCATGATCAAATTCGAGGAAAAAAAATTCCTGCAGAGCGCAATGAAAAATATAATTAAATCATTGTTGGCGAGATTGTTCATTGTTGGAAAACAGGGCCAAGCTTTATTTTATTCTGGACTTGCAATCCACGATGTTAGTCATCTTTCAACAAAAGTAGGTCGTTTAATATCTTCTATAGACGTCTATAGAAGATTATAGAATGGTGGGCCATGTAGCCGCACATTCAATTGCGGTGCCTTTGGCTTTGCATCATTTGGAGTGGTATATAAGAATTGGACGGCTTCATGTAATCATGTATGTCTTTTAATCAGAGTCAGACACAGGTATTAAACTGACTCGCACAGAGTTACTACTGAAATCGTAAATTCGTAAAATAGATTGGAACTTGAAGTTGAAAACGTATTTTGTATAAAATATGTGTTTTTAATAAAAAGTCTGGTATTGGGGTTTGGCTTTGGGTGAATGGGTGGGGCTAGGTCTGAGGAAAATGAGAGATCTTTGTCTTTTGACTCCATGGCTGTATTAAAATATATAATAGTTTTCTACAACTTTTCAAAAGTAATTGTTCAAGGAATTTAATCACATTATTTATTGAAAGAACAGAAAATAGTTAGTCTTTTTCATACGTTACTTGTGCTTTGTTAAGAAAACTTCTAGTTTCATGGAAAAAAAAAATTCGTGCAAATAATTTGGTGCCAAAAAAAAATTCCTGCAACGCCAAAGCAGTCGAAAAAAATATCGTGCATGCAAGAAAAGTCCCCCCCCCCCATCACTTTTCTAATGGTCCGCCCCTAAGTACTCTAGCGGCTCGATTTTGGAGTTTTTGCAGTTTATTCGCAAGAGTACTGCCGCAACTATCCCAGACAACGCAACAGTAATCGAAATAGGGTTGAACTAAGCAATTGTAAATAAGTTGCATTGTGGAAGGTGGGACGAATGGCCATAGATATCTCATATGAGATATCTATGCGAATGGCCTTATACGCTTTAATGCACCTATGCCAGAAGCGACTTTTTTGCATAATTTCTCGATATGAACATTCCAAGTCAAGTTCTCGTCTAAATGTACACCAAGTGACTTTGTGTGAGAGACTTGTTTAATTGGTACGTCATTTATTGTCAGTGAAGGACTAGAGTTGAAAGTACTAATCCTTTGACGGGAGCCGATTAGCATAAATTCTGTTTTAGATTGGTTTAAAGTAAGTTTGTTGGCTACTAACCACTCACTGACTTTAGCAAGATCTTCGTTGAAGTGATGATCAATGTCATCAATATCATTACTTGCGTAAGTCAAATGAGTGTCATCTGCATACATGCGTGCACGTGAGTGAGAGAGGCAATTCGGGAGATCATTGATATAGATTAAGAATAAAAGTGGCCCCAGAATAGTTCCCTGGGGAACTCCACAACGGAGTAAACGATTTGTCGAAAAATGACCATTAACGAAACATTTTTGTTTCCGTTCACTGAGATATGATTTGAACCAGTTGCCAGCAACACCATTGATGCCATATGAATTTAGTTTTCCTAAAAGAATCTCGTGGTCTACGGTATCAAACACCTTCCTGAGGTCGGGAAACAGGACAGCATTTACGCTTCCATGATCGATATTATAAGCCCAATCGTTAGTGGCCTCAAGAAAGGCGGTAACAGTAGAATGTGGACCACGAAATCCCGACTGACAATTAGTTAACAGACTATTTTCAGATAGAAATAATTACAGCTGATCATAAATTATCCTTTCGAAAACCTTAGCCACTACCGAGACAATGGAAATCGGACGATAATTGTCAGGGCAATTACGTTTCCCTTGTTTGTGTATTGGGACAACTTTAGCGTGTTTCCACTCATCTGGGAATACTAGGGTTAGGGGTTAGGTTTAAGGTTAGGGTAAGGGTTAGGGTGTGTATATATGTGTATATATGTATATATGAAGGTATCCAGTTAACTTTTCAGTACACTATAATATCCATTACATAACGTTCACTATATTGGTGCGCGAAACATGGAACGACCAGAAATGGTTACTATTTTCGGCCCAAATGTGGTAGCAATTTCCGCACGCAATACAAAAGTATACAAAATTTGCGAACTTTGCAAGGCTATATTTTACAACATTTCGCAACCAAACTTTGCAATTTTACTCATTTTAGTATGCTTTTTCCGGGAATATATCTTTTTTTGCCAAGATAAAGAAATTAGTCTATAATGGGAATTGTCTATTGTTGAAATTTCTCCTAAACTATTGAGATCAGTTCTCTTATATAACAGGGGAAATCAACATACATTGTTTCAATCTGTTAAGGTTTGGTCGCATGATATTTGTGTTAAATGCATCAGCTGGTGTCGCAGAGGAATATAAGGGCGAATGGAAAGATGGTATGATGCATGGCCAGGGAGAAATGAGGTAAGTCATTAAATTACGAGGCTGTTGGCAGTCTCTTCCTCGTGCTGCCTTCGTTCTACCAGGGATGGGTTTACTGAGGAGGGGAGTGCAGTGAGCGCACACCTACACCCCTCCTAGTCGTCGCAAAGGGGGTGCCTAGAGGGGTATCAATTTTCTTAACCAAGAAACCCCTCTCCATTAAACCCCTCTGTCCAATAAATCCCCCTCCCAAATTCGCTTGAAGTGAGTAAGCCTCTGAGGGGTTGATGCAGGATTTACGGTTAACTTACTGTATAATTCCCTCCATTTTCTCGTCTCTAGTTACAGCGACAAGCAAGTCTACATAGGACACTGGATGCACAATGTCCGTCATGGCCACGGCGTGCTGCGCATGGGCACAATGACGTCACCAACACCGAGTATCTTCACAGGAAACTGGGACAACGATAAACGATCAGGGTTTGGTGTCATGGATGATATTATGAGGTGAGCTAGTGTAGTGTATAAAGTACAGGTATGATTTTAATCTTGCATTCTGCATAAAAAGAGTTGATGAGAGTTCTTGCTCTTTTGACCTGTAATATCCAGTCAACTCTCATTAACTCCTATGCAACTCTTGTTCTCGTTTGACCGGGACATGAGAGTTGAGAAAACTCTCATACAAACTCTCGCTTGCCAACTCTTATCAACTCTCATTCTCGCTTAAAGTGTGACTAATCCCAAATATAAATTTGGTATGTGTAATATTTGGGTCATTCTGAGAAGAAATGTAATGTATCTTTATAGTAAAAAACCCTCATCTTGATCAACTTTTTCACTGTCAAAGTTCCAGATATGATGTCATTAGGTGAATTTTTGGTGCAAAAAAAACAAAGAAAAACTAATTTGCAATTCACCTAATGACGTCATATCCGCAAACTTTGACAGTGAAAAAGTTGATCAAGATGGGATTTTTTATTATAAAGATATATTACATTTCTTCTTTGAATGACCCAAATATTACATATACCAAAATTCGTATTTGTGGTTAGTCGCACTTTAAGGATAACAAGTTAATCCGAATTGTCCCCTACAGTATGGGTAAAATAAGCCTTTGCTTTATTATTCCCGTATTCAATACAGTATGTCATGTTCATTCCGAGAATTTCATCTTTATATTTTTCTTCATATTAGAGGAGAAAAATACATGGGCATGTGGGACAATGACGCGAGAAGTGGAAACGGTTTGATTGTAACATTAGATGGAATTTACAACGAGGGACGATTTTCTTTGAACAAACTCATGGTAAGAAGTGCTCAATATAACAGTCGGCCATTTTCCGAGCAAAACGCCAATATATGGCCGTCTTCTGATTGCTCTTCACGGACATTATGGCCGACCCAATTATATTTGCCACATTAATTTGAATGATTTCTCCCTCATTCTTGCAAAACTAAAATTTCATTTGAGTTACACCAATCAACGTGTTGTTTTAGGAAGCTTGAAATGTCTGAGTATTTAATCTAATCGTTTTCAGGCAGTTCTGACCAAACCCATCTCGGCAACGTATTTTATATAATAACGTTAAGAATTCAAGCGCTTTCATTGTTCGAGAGCCATGATCAATTAGCGGACAGACGCACGGAATTACGTCACACAAAACCTTATCCAACAGCATTCATTATTTGTATAGATTATGTACGTAAAATTTTGACTTTTTCAAATTTCCAAATGTTTGGGTGGATAAAAAGTAAACTATTTACAGTACCTGTTTAATTCGGAGGCGAGTGAGGCGAGTGGGCCACTTTTCTGTTCTTCCCACATTATGACGTCACACTGTGTATCTATAACTGAACAGACAATGGCAAAGTCTTATCTATGCGTTAAATAGCACATTACCTCCACTGAATCGCCACATTCTAACTTGTGCTTCTCTTTGTATTCGAGGGTCAAGGTATTTTACTGTGTCATGACAATACAAAGTTCGAGGGAGATTTTTGTGGTGATGCACAAGTCAACGGAAAGGTAGGAAACGATCTAGCTCATGTACTGTTTAATAATTCGTTATCAACGAATGCATGGATTAGTTTATTGCTTGATAAACTTTCATTGATATAGGGTGACCTGATATTCTTGATATTAAATGTGACGACCAGATCTTGGCAGGTCTGCAAATTAATGCCGATCATCGGACATTGTCCGGCCAAATTTTATCTTTTGTCCGATCAAAGCTTTTTATGCCTGGACATGTGACCGACCGATTTAGGCTAGTCAAATCTGCAATCTCAAAAAAATATTTATTTAACACATTTTGTATTAATGAAACCAACTAGAAAGCAATATAGACAGCACTTCTCCACTATTTCTTACTGCATTAAGCCGTAAGATTTAATAATAAATCTACATCACCTTTGTATACCTGGTAGAAATTAAAGTTACGTATAACCTGAACCATAATTTACTGATGCATTAGAACTGGTAGATATGTACTCAGGTTTAGATGTATTGCAGTGCGGACTAACATGATCAGGCAAAAAATACATCGTGCTAATTTTAAAAACAAAATATGAAAATTTTTACTTTGTCCGTTGTCCGGTAAAAATCGATAAATGTCCGACCAATTTTTGGCTTGGCCAGACATTTGTCCTTCCAAGTAAAATAATGATTTGCAAGCCTGCTTGGTATAGTCACTTAAAATTTCAACTTCTAATACTATACATTAAATAGGGCGTGCTTACGATGCCGAATGGAGATCGTATAGAGGGGACATTTCAAGGACAGTGGAATGAAGGTCTCAAAATCAACGGCTTGTACTTTAAAGGAACTGGTCCCGAGGAAAATTCCGCAGTTGCGTTTCCTGATAGGTAAGAACATCCAAGTCGGAGAGCCTATAGTTACATTTTTCGAAACTGCTCCTGGTTAGACCTAAAGGCCCATTTCCACTCGGGAAAATTTTCCGCAGAAAGAAAATTTTGTACAATTTGATTGGCTGACACAAATTTTCCGTCAGAAAAAAATTTTGAAGTTGAAAATTTTCAACTTTTAACAATGATATTTTCGGAAAATTTTCTGTTCATGGAAAATTTTCTTGAGTGGAAATGGGCCTTAAAGGCGGTTTTCCACTAGGCGAAATTTTTCGATCGAACCGAAAATTCTATTGTTCAAATTCAAAAGATTTCTGATTAGTTCCATCTGAGTGCTTGTAAGACAAAAGAAAATTTCGATTCGGTCGAAAACTTTCGCCTAGTGGAAAACCGCCTTAAAGCCCAGGGCAAACTAGGAAACATTGTTGCGAAAACATTGTTTCCTACCAATGTTTCGCCATGTTTCCCAGAGTGGGCAAACACTAGGAAACATTAGTGAGAAACATAGGGAAACATCAAATGTTTCTGAATATGCTAGGAAACATTTTTACTTTTCGGGAAACAAAATTTGTTTCCGCAGCAATGTTTCCACGGGTGGGCAAACAGGGAAACATTTGAGGAAACATCGAGAATCGCAAATGTTTCCACAACAATGTTTCCTAGATTGTCCAGGGCTTAATAAATATATAAAAATTCAACTCAGAATTTCCATCTACAAAAATCTTGTAAATTTTAAGATATATATTGTTTATCGTTATGCAAACTTTCAAGGAGATCAAGTGTAATGCATTTTTTATTTGCATTGCCAGTAGAGCCGTAAGCACTCACTCACCGTACTACATTCCTGCCACCAAGAAATGGCGCAGCGTTTTCAACGAATGTCGTGATCGTCTTGGTTGCCTTGGTAACGATGAACCTGATTTGAAGAAGGCATGGAAGTCTGTTGCGGAGGACCTGGTACGAGCTCCTGTGGCGAAAACTATGCATCAAGAACGTGAGATCATTGATGATATTCTGAAAGGCGTTGACTTGGATCAGGCGAAGAAGATTGCTAAAGATAAGAAAAAATTGCAGGAATATTTGATCAAGGTAAGCTGACGATTCCTCCACGAACAGAAGTGTGTGTGTGCGTGTCAGTATCTTGAAATGATACAAGGTACTTCCCAATAGGGAACACAGTGGTAGTAGAATGTTACAACGTTGATGAAACAAGGTTGTAACAACATGCTTATGTCATGACTGTATCAAACTTGTTAGAACAACCTTGGAACAAGCTGAACGGATAATATCGAACAGATAATATCAACAAGCTGCTTATAAGCTGTCGACAAATTTGTAACAAACTTGATGGCATTATCAGACTTGTTGCAAGGTTGTTCTAACAAGTCTGATACAGTCATGATATAACAAGAATGTTACAAGGTTGACGAAACAAAGTTGTAACAATATTGTTATATCATGACTGTATCGGACTTGTTGGAACAATCTTGGAACAAGTCTGATAATATCAACAAGCTAGTGGCAAGCTGTTAACAACTTGTGACAGGCTTGATGGCATTATCAGACTTGTTACAAGGTTGTTTTAACAAGTCTAATACAGTCATGATATAACTGGAATGTTACAAGGTTGATGACACAAGGTTGTAACAATATTGTTATATAATGACTGTATCGGACTTGTTGGAACAACCATGGAACAAGTCTGATAATATCAACAAGCTTGTTACAAGGTTGGCGAAACAAGTCTGATACAGCCATGATATAACATGAATGTTACAATGCTGATGACCCAAGGTTGTAACATTGTTATATTATGACTGTATTGAACTTGTTCGAACAACCTTGGAACAAGTCGGATGATATCAACAAGTTTGTTACTAATTTCTTATTAACCGAGCGCAAGGTCTTTACAGAGAATTATTGGACCAAGGTCTTTTTTGCACGGACCGAGCCCGTAAGGCGAGGTTTGTACAAAAAGACCGAGGTCCGATATTTCTCTGTAAAGACCGAGCAAGCGACGTTAATAAAAAGTTTATTATATGGCATTTATAGGCATCTATACTTGAAACAAACAAGAAATGCATGATTTGAAACGCATATTAGTAGCGTGGTACACATTTGTGATTTCGTCGAAGAAAACAAAAACTACCAATGTATTCCTTCTTTTCCACTAAAAACCATTCGCAGATATCTTATTAATAACAAATTAAATTATAATTTTCAAATTTTCAATTAGTTTTGCTGTTTTATTTTAAAATGCAACGTTTGTTTTTACGTAATGGACCACCGGTCCATGACGAAAATAACGGACCGCTGAAAGTGCTTCTCAGCCAATCACAGTACGCCATTTCACCGGAAGTGATACTTACCATATAATAAAAGCTGTTAACAACTTGTATCAAGCTTGATGGCATTATCAGACTTGTTACAAGACTGTGCTAACAAGTTTGTTACAGCCATGATATAACAAGGATGTTACAAGGTTGTCAACACAAGGTTGTAACAATATTGTTATAACCTTGCAACAAGTCTGATAATTTCGACAAGGTTGTTACAAGTTGTCAACAAGTTGTTCCAAACCTGTTGACAACTTGGGACAAGCAGTGCGAATACCTCGTGTTGACGGCTTGTTGGCAGACTTGTTACAAGATGTGAGATTTTGAGATGTGAGACGTGTGTACAAGTCTGATAATATCAACAAGATTGTTCAAGATGTTAACAACTTGTAACAAGCTTGATGGCATTATCAGACTTGTGACAAGGTTGTTTTAACAAATCTGATACAGTCCTGATATAACAAGAACGTTAGAAGGTTGATGACACAAGGTTGTAACAATGTTGTTATATCATTATCTGACTGCATCGGACTTGTTGGAACAACCTTGCTACAAGTCTCATAATATCAACAAGCTTGTTACTAGTCTGATAATATCAACAAGATTGTTTCAAGATGTTAACAACTTGTAACAAGCTTGATGGCATTATCACACTTGTGACAAGGTTGTTCTAACAAATCTGATACAGTCATTATATAACAAGAACGTCACAAGTTTGATGACACAAAGTTGTAACAATATTGTTATATCATGACTGTATCAAATTTGTTGGAACAATCTTGGAACACGTCTGATAATATCAACAACATTGTTACAAGTCTGATACAGTCATGATATAACACATGAATGTTACAATGCTGACGACCCAATGTTGTAACAGTGTTGTCATATCATGACTGTATCGGACTTGTTGGAACAACCTTGCTACAAGTGATAATATCAACAAGATTGTTTCAAGATGTTAACAACTTGTAACAAGCTTGATGTCATTATCAGACTTGTGACAAGGTTGTTCTAACAAGTCTGATACAGTCGCGATATAGCAGGAATGTTACAAGGTTGATGACACAAGGTTGTAATGATATTGTTATATCATGACTGTATCGGACTTGTTGGAACAATCTTGGAACAAATCTGATAATATCAACAACATTGTTACAAGTCTGATACAGTCATGATATAACATGACGACCCAATGTTGTAACAATGTTGTTATATCATGACTGCATGTATCGGACTTGTTGGAACAATCTTGGAACAAGTCTGATAATATCAACAAGATTGTTTCAAGATGTTAACAACTTGTGACAAGCTTAATGGCATTATCAGACTTGTGAGAAGGTTGTTCTAACAAATCTAATACAGTCCTGATATAACAAGAATGTTACAAGGTTGATGACACAAGGTTGTAACAATATTGTTATATCATGACTGTATCGAACTTGTTGGAACAACCTTGGAACGAGTCTGATAATATCAACAAGCTGTTAACAACTTGTAACAAGCTTGATGGCATATTCAGACTTGTTACAAGGTTGTTGTAACAAGTCAGACTTGTTACAAGGTTGTTGTAACAAGTCTGATACAGTCATGATATAACAAGAACGTTACAAGGTTGACGAGACAAGTTTGAACAATCTTTTTATATGATGACTATATCGGATTTGTTGGAACAACCTTGCTACAAGTCTGATAATATCAAAAAGATTGTTACAAGCTGTTAACTTGTAACGAGCTTGATGGCATTATCGGACTTGTTACAAGATTCGCGAAAGAAGTCTGATACAGTCATGATATAACAAGAATTTTACAAGGTTGATCACACAAGGTTGTAACATTGTTATATCATAACTGTATCGGACTTGTTGGAACAACTTTGGAACAAGTCTGATAATATCATCAAGCTTGTTAGAAGCTGTTAACAACTTGTGACAGGCTTGTTGGCATTGTCAGATTTGTTGCAAAGTTGGCGAAACAAGTCTGATACAGTCATGATATAACAAGAATGTTACAAGCTAGGTTGACGACACAAGGTTGTAACAATATTGTTATATCATGACTGTATCGGATTTGTTGGAACAACCTTGCTGCAAGTCTGATAATATCAACAAGATTGTTTCAAGATGTTAACTTGTACCAAGCTTGATGGCATTCTCAGACTTGTTACAAGGCTGACGAAACAATTCTGATACAGTCATGATATAACAGGAATGTTACAAGGTTGATGACATATCATGATTAGATGATAAGTTCTTATTTTTAAAACTCTATATTTTACGTAATTAATCTTCGTCATAGGCATTCAGTTTGCCGTGTCATCCTCTGGGGAGACTACTCGAGACTTTGGTTGACGTTTATAGAGCGACATATGTCGGTATGGGTGCTCACAGTCGACTGTTACCACATGCTGTTGAAGAGATTAAGTCTTACATCGAGAGAGTGTATGCTATCATCAGGTAAAAATCAACTTTTGAAAAGTTATATTTTACACATTGGATGAAATACATTTTTGGTCATGCTTTGGTTTGTGGTAACACCACGTAAATTTATTATTTGCCTGATATTATTATTGGACATGTATTTTTAATTTAATTTAATTTGCAACGTTTCGGACATTTTAAATGTCCGTCTTCAGGCTTTAACAACAATTGTCGCCTGAAGACGGACATTTAAAATGTCCGAAACGTTGCAAATTAAATTAAATTAACCTTTTGAAAAATCCTTGAGAAATAAAAATAAGTAATAAGTTATTTTAAGATTGGTTGCTAAATGTTGTAAAATGAAGAAAATATAGCCCTGTAGTTCAACGTTCAAGCATCAATAGCGCAGTCAATATTGCATGTAAATTCAAGTGTTATATATCAAAATCTAAGTTAGTCCTTTCTGAATGCAATGATCTTTATTTCGATAGCTTTTATAGCTTTTACGTTACATGAAATTAAACAATATCCAGTTTTTTGTGGGGACACCCGGTAGAATATACAATTTTACATGAATTCCCCATTTATCTATTCTAGAATATTGTTTCCGTCTTTGCCCAACGAAGACTTTGTTCATGTCGGCGACTCGAATGAAGCTGACGGGCAGTCAGAAGGCGGGGGTTTAGACAGTAATACGTTACTTGGACCTCTCATATTCCCGCGCTTTTATCCACCGCTTTTTACCCTGTATGCTTTGCACAACGAGAAGAACGACAGCGCGTACTGGGAACGAGTCTTGCAACTGAACAAACGGACCGACCTTGCGCTCATGTCATATCTGGAAGTTAAAAGGTAATCACCAGAAGCTTTTTCTTGCTTGATGCTGTATGTAATTCTTCATTAAATCACACTTGAATCAAGCATTAGCTGCAGAGATCATGAAAGTATCTTGTTGTATTTTCTTTGCAGAACATTTTGGCTCGCTTCAGAAGAAACCAATGGTTTAGTGTATGAAGCGGTAACTATCACTATGTGACTAAATATATACTGTTTTTTTTTTTACATTCATGAGAGGCAATTTTGAAAATGCATTTCTACCTTTTGAAATGCATTTGCCGGTTGAGAAACATAAAATAGTAGTAAAAATTTTCAATTAAGATACACTTATCATTGATGCTTTAAACGTGACGCCATATTTGCGACAATATAAGCAAAACTTACTGAACTTCAGACATCATTTTCTCTTTGGCGTACCATCCAAGATCTGTTTATTTTAGCATTATTTTACAGATAAAGCACTAAGCATGCTTTTTAAGTTTGTTTGCCGATCGAGAAACGTATCGAAAAATAAAAATTTTGAATGAGCCACAAGTGGCACATTATATACTTATTATAGTTTTGAGCGCGCGGTGCGTAACATACAAAAATCTCCTAATAGACAACTTGCATGTGTTAGACTAATTTTTTATCTAGGCAAAAAAGTAAATCCCGTAAAGAACTTATTAAAATTGCAAAATTTGGTTACGAAATCTGGTAAAATACGGAAAATATAGCCTTGCGAAGTTTGCATATTTTGTATATGTTTGTATTACGTGCGGAAATTGTTACCATTCTTGAGCCGAAAATGGTAACAATTTCCGCACGTAATACAAACATATACAAAATTTGCAAACTTTGCAAGACTATATTTTCCAAGCTTTACAACATTTCGCAACCAAATTTTGCAATTTTACTAATTTATAGCTGTGGGGTTTGATTCCCTTCTCTTGACTTAGATTAAAATTTAGTCTAACATGCAAGTTAAGTTGTCCATTGTATTAAAATTATTTTGTTTTCTGAGGTATATTTATATGTTGTCTGTGTTGATGTTTAGGATTTGACGGACTGGAAACACACACATTACTATGGAAAGGCAGTGGACGCATTTCAACAGATCAGGTAAGTTTGTGTAATTATTTTTTGACTTTATTCATTTTGTTATTATTTTTAATCAGCCTTTCTCACGGCCGATTTTTCGCCATTTTTGGGTACTGCCTCTCCCACGTTTGAGAGTTTCCGCACCACGAAATACAACTTTTTATTATTGTTGTAGTTTGTATAATGGTAAATTTCATAGATATCTTATATACACTAGATAGCGCATCTCTTTTAGTAAAATTGAAGCCAAGAATATTTCAGCGGTTACCCCCATTTGAATAGATGGCGGCCATGTTGGTATTTCCCACTCGCTAATAAACGCTTAAAAATAACAATAACTTTCATCATTTGAATAGTTTAAAAATGTATTTGGAATAGGGTTAACTTAATGTTTAAGTTCTCTGTTTAAGAAATAGAAAACATACGAATCTTCTCATTTCATCATGGGAACGACCTGAGACTGCAATCACGGCTTCAATTTTTGAATTGCAGAATAATTAGATGCACTATCTAGTGTATATAAGATATCTATGGGTAAATTTACAGTTACAATTTTTAAAAGTCGCTTTTCACGTTGTTTGAATTGTCTAGAATCTTTCACGAGGGTAGACAGTACCCCAAAAGCCTTCGTGAGAAAGGCTAATTAGATACTTTTATCAAATTAATTAACAAATAAACAACATATGCGTACATAATATGAATAATATATTGAGTGGAAGTAATCACAAAAATTGTGAGTAACTTGATGAGGGGCTAACGAACGAACTCGAAGTCCCAGCGATGTTAACCCCTCGGCAAAACATTACAATACGATTTGAAAGTTAAAGGAATGAATAAAAGTAGAAAGATTTACTCAAGCAAAAAGTTATTAGACAGTTCCCCCCCCCCCCCACCCCCTCCTTAAATCCGCCATGTCAACCCCACACGAGTTGTTTGTTATTACGTTGCTCTATATTTGTTTGCAGCTTGTTAAAACTCTGGGAGCATTTACTCCCACACTTACAAAGCCTTTTCTATATAAAATATGTTTTTTTATTATGTTTTGCAGTACAAAATTTAGTCCTATGGAGAAGATTTCAGTCTTGAAAGAAACATTTCACCGCATTCACAAGGTATGATTGAAAAGCTTCATGATGTATGGGATTGCTTTATCACTTCTAAACTTCAGTCTTCATGTTTTCTTTAGGCGTCCAGTAAGGCCTTCGCTTATTTGTCCAATGTCACTAGTCACTACTGGAAGAAACTCCAGTAACCAATGAAATTCCCCCTCCTTCTTGCACCTCGTTTTGCCAAGGGTAAGGGGGTCCACACACCCTCCCCTCCTGTAAATCCATCCCTGTTCTACCTATAACACATACATGCATTACATTATTATTCAGTTCACTCCCCATTGGGGCGTTTCAGTGACCGATTACATCAAGTATTACGCTCATGTTACTTAGCTTAGACTATTTATCTTTGCAACAATTGAGATATTTTGCTTTCCTAACTGTGTTTATCCTAACCCACCCTGTCAACTTTTCCTGTGGGAGGAAACCGGAGCACCCAGAGAAAACCCACGACTTTCGCCAGAGTGTTGACTGACTCTTTTCAGTGTTGACTGACTCTTCTCTCTTGCCACCACCGCAGCCCCATTACTGTGAGCCTACAGTAACATGCATGTTACTGTAGGCTTAGGAATCATTGATACGTTTTAGGAAGTGCAAGATTTCTGGAAAGGCGAAGAAAAAATAGTGTCCTTGGACGACTTGTTCCCAGTCTTTCAATTTGTTGTAATACGGTCACGGTATGTCGCATGCACATTACGTGAAGTACGGTCCATTTATCATTTAGATCAGTTGGGCTGCGCGGGAAGGCATACGCCTTTGATGTCTTCGGCTGCGCAGCTCTATGCAAATAAATATATCGGAGGTTTTCATTCCCGCAATTTCATTCATGCAAAATTATGTACATGTATAGCGATATTTGAAATGAGTTCACACGTTGCAATCTAAACTGCTTTGAAAATCATTTTGGCATTTTGTTATCCAGCATTTTTTAATGACTTTTTTTGCGGCCTTGCGAAACTTTTTGGCAGCATGGTGTAATTTTTGAATGTTTTTGAATTTGATTTGTTTTAATGTGTTAGCGTTCATCACCTTGGCTCGGAGATTGATTTTATCGAGGATTTAATGGAGGCGAAATATCGCGCTGGAGAACAAGGACATATGTTCACTACTTTAAAGGTACGCGTTCATGTTTTAATTGATTTGCAAACACGCTACAGAAATTCCTAAAACTATTATCACTAGAGGTTACCCAGAGATTGCATATACCTCCACATCAGGTCGCGTATCATACATAAATTATACAATAGGCGAATTATACACATTCAGCTTATACTCTGTTTTAATGCTTTAATGGCGAGCTTGAGTATGTAAGCGACGGTTTTGTCACCCCAAAATTGGCATATCTATTTTTGGCGGTATTTACATCATAACGCTCGTTTAAAGGAGCAAAAAAAACCTTTAAAATCTTACGTTTTGTCACATGTGTTGAAGATGATGCAAACACTGTCCCCTCTTGGCAATCTGACGTCCGTATTGACATAAACGTCGCTTGTTAAACTCGCTAATGAACTCTTAAAAACAGTATTACATGCACTATACCAGGAAGATTTAACTATGTACTGTTTTTAATAAACGAGCAGGGGTGTCTTATTAGGTTTAAAGACACGAGCGCGCAGCGCGAGTGGCTTTAAACCTAATAAAACACGACCTGCGAGTTTGTTAAACGGCTTCAAACACGACTACAAATTCAATAGATATACTGCCTTATTAGTATTCTTTATATAAAGAATACCAATGAGGACACGACTACAATAGATACTGCCTTATTAGTATTCTTTATATAAAGAATACTAATTAGGAGTGTTTTATCAGGTTTAAAGCCACTGCACGTGACATATTATGGTTGACATGATTTGCCAATAAGCTTATGAATTATTAATATAACATATAACACTATATGTACATATAATGTACTAAAACTGTCTGTACCAGTGTAGGTATAGTACCGATGTGTAAATGCTGTGCTGAGTGGTGATATTACTACCTGAAATAAACAAGCAGAAACTTGACGTTTCGTTCGAAGGCTACTAACTCTTGACAGAAGGGCCTTCGCTCGACACGTCGAGTTTCTGCTTGTTTATTTCAGGTAGTAATATAACCACTCAGCACAGCATTTGTACATATAATGCCAGGGAACAAAATATACTGTTGTTTAAAAGTGAATAACTAATTGATAAACAAAGACAGAAACAATTTCAACAACGAGAACAACAACAATTACAAAATAAAACACATGGTACTAATTAGTAAGTTAAACTGTGTGTGACTTTATTGACTTTATAAGACAAACTTTTGCTTTATACTATATAGACAGAAAACAATTTGTGTTTCACAGTCATACTTTATTTTTTCAGGCTTGCTATTATCAAATACTGAACGAAAACTGAGAGTCGAATACTGTCCATTAATGGCGACGTATAAAGACGACATGCAATTATCCACGTCAATCGAAATTATCCGTCATGCGTCACAGCGTAAAGATGGTTATAAGTATTAAATCTGCTGTACAATTTAATCTGTAATAACATATCCATAATATACCAGCATATATGCATAAAAGAGACCGACACTGCGTTGTCCCATTAATACACTTTCAAATTAGCCCAACAATACCGAAGACCGTTCAGCAATTTTCAAATCGTGTTTTAAGGCCGAAACACATCGGACGCGATTCGGCAACGCGTCCCAATTTTTCGATTTTCACTGACCGATAACTTTGTTCCTGGTTTAAGTTTTTCAAATATTAAGAAGCGCTATAACATTTTGAGTTATTTGCGCTACATATCTTTTAAAATTTCCTTTCATTGGCTGTTTCATTGGTGTCCGGTGTGTCTCGCGGGCCTACCTTTTTTACACAGATGTTTTCAAGCACAGATTATCAATTTGAAAAAATATTTCCAAGGGGGGGGATTTCTGGGTTCAACAAATCTATGTTGGGAATGCAGTGTTGGTATTGAACTATGAATATACATATATGTTGCTCATTTTATCATCCATTGAAATTGTATATAAGAAAGTTTAAATTATATAGTTTGTATTATTGTTGATGTAATTATATTATATGATGTAGCAGGCGACCTGGTCTTTTTCAAGCAAAATATATATGCATGAGAGAAAATTGACAATAATATAATGATTTTTGTAAAATGATAAAAATTGTACATTTTTTTAACTAAAGGGATTGTAGATTAAAGAAACTATTTCTTAATTTTCTTTTTCTCAGATTACGTTCAGGCTGGCCCGATTTTAGGGACCGCCTGCCATGCAGGTTTGAGCACGCCAGAAATATTTTTTTACGTCGCCATTTTGAATACTTAATCAATTATTACGATTGCGTTCCGAACACGCTCCGAACAAATATCCCTAACCAGTGGCACAGAATAGAGACTATACAGAAGCCCGACCTCTTGGTTTTTCCTATGATTTTGGCGAAACCGTAATTCGTCATCAAAATGCTGATGCCATGATCTTAGCCAGTGCGCGTATGAGAGGTATTCACCCCCCTGATAATATTCAAAATTGTGGACGTCCAGGGGGGGACGCCTTTCAAAAGCGCACTGGCTAGGAGGCGTCTTTTTTGGCTGAGTCGACCTTCTGTGTGTCTTATTCTGTGCCGGTGGCCTTGATTTAAATTCCGGAAATTGTTCGGTGCGTGATCGGAACGCCACCGTAATCAGTGATCAAGTATTCAAAATGGCGACTTAAAAATAAATTATCGCGTTCGAAAAGTAACTCGAAGTTATTTCGGGCGTGCTCACTTGGTTCCATTTGTTCACACGGGAATCGTCCGACTTCTGAATTCGCGAGGCAAAATCGTGCAAATTTGAACGTAGCGTCACTCCCACTTAGAGCAAAAAAAATCCGCGTATTCTTTAAACTTTCCGGATTCGATTATTCAAATACGTAAGCCGTTTACACTGAACGAGTGCCCGTCTGAACATTGAACAATTCAATTTTCTGTTTGTGAATATAACAAAGTGTTGATAATTGTCTTCAAGTTCAATTGATAATATTGTACCATTATTTCATGTTTCTCCGACGGCAGATGAATTTTAAAAAGTAGCTAACTGTTTAAACTAGAAATTAAAGCTAAACTCAGAGTAATAAGCTAATAAGACTGAGGGATGCTAAAAAGATTTTTTGAACGCTTTCCATCGCAAATACATAGAAGAATATTGCCTCCAAACGCTCTTTTCCACTCATTACAAAACCAAGTCGCAAGCCCCAGTCACAGAGTAAATTCCATATCATGGTATAGAGTAACATACATCAGAGTAACATCTCAGAGTAACATACATCAGAGTAACATCTCAGAGTAACATCACAAGCATCGTATTCACCTGAGTACATTACACCAACACAGAAAAAATCATGAAACAATATTGATTAATCATGTTGCAATACTTGTGTGCATTATCAACAGTCATTTAATCCATAGAAAAATAATTGTCGATTAAAATTTTAAAAGGAATTTTTGATAGTTGCTCATACCTGTTGACGATGTCAATGGGTAAGTTGTTCCAGGCACAATCTTTAATTTGAAATTTAATCTTTAATATGGAAATGACTTAAAACGCTTAGTTTGTCCACACAATGAGGGTTAACCCTAAAAGGTTGAATAACGCAGCCAGCTAGATTAGATCTGTAATACTATAATTTTAACACTGTAATGGTTTTTCCGATATATAGTCTTTCCGTCTTTACTTGTCGCCCGTCTCGAGTTGTCTGTGTGTTAAGTTTGTGTACTTATGATTGTTTCCTGCGAGGTGGCTTGGCAGCTTGCTTTAGGCAACATACTGCATTACATTCTATAGTGTTTTATAAATCCCAGGGCTTATACCTAATACGGAAAACAAATCAAGACGGCTGTTTAACTAAAAGAGTTTATATTCGAAGATTTTTTTCATATAGTTAAACTTTCTAATGAGTTTAAATTTCCAACATGTTCTGTCATGAAATATGATTGGACTGATGGTATGAGATTAGACTAAGGAATGCTTTGTCGATTGTATGTGCAATAGGTGATTCCAGGTATATAGACTAAATTTTGATCTAGGGAAGAAGAACAAAATCCATCACCACAGCTAGAAAGAGCATGTTAAAATTAGTAAAATTGCAAAGTAGTTTCAGGTTACTGAAAAGCGACTCATTTTAGGGAGGTATTGTATATGATTTATATGAAATTATGCACAAATGATATAAAAAAAATGACAGTATAGGCACTATACCAGTCATATATATATGCACGTTAAAGCTGCACTGATTGTAACTTGTGACTTAATTTTGACTCTATTTGATAATATATTAAGAATTAATCTATACTACTTTTTTTTGTGGAAACATTACGTAAATTTATTAAGCTTTGCACTAGCAATAAATTTACGTGGTGCTTCCACAAACAAAACGTATCATATGTTTTATCGCCATACAAACCTAGCTACAATTAAAGAGCTTATTAAGAATCTTGATTCGATTCCCACCGTGGTCAGGCATATTTTTCAAGCATGCCCGGTGTGGATATACACTCAGAGTAACATCACAAACATCATTATTAAGAATCTGTTTTGAAATTCTAGCCTGAATAGGTTCTTATTTTAAAGGGGATCTATATAGAATATTTAGACTAACAGGTTCTTAAATTCTTGGTTCTCATATATGCGGAGATTCAATTTTGATCTTCGATGCTCGTCAGTTGATGCTTGCTTTTTTCGGACACCCTGTATAATTGTACGTCTATGGAGTGTTACGTTTGTAGCAGCTTAATTAACTGACATTGCAATGAGAAAGAACTAAAAATAATTATCGCACCTTCGCTGAAAGGCGAGGCTCTACTCGCACCTATATTGGTCACATCTAAATCCTGTCTACCGGGTGGCCCAAAAAAAAGTACTCCTGTTTGATTCGTAATAACATCTAAACAAGTATAGCTTTTAAAGAGAAATAACTTGCATCAAATAGAGGAAGGACTAACTTAGACTTTGATATATTACAGTTGTATTTCACTTAAAAATTCACGGAGATATTAATCTTTAAATTCGGGAGGATATTTCTTGATGTGTCTGAAATATGCAAAAATCGGCGTATCAAATATTAATCAAGATTTGCCCGACTGAAACATGCACTATTACCAGTAAATAAATAACACTTGACAAATTGTTTATTATGAAACAAAGTATTATTATATCTACAAAATACAAGCAAGATTCATTCGTCCGAAATTCGCGTGTGTTCCTAGCACGAATACGTTTCCTTATTTCATGAGACCACTGCATCGCGAAGGATCGTCATTGGATCGTTCGTAGTTCTGAATTAGGGCATGCTGTCACAACGGAATTGTGAAGCTCTTCTAACTTCTAACATAATTTCGAACGTTCATATTTCAGGAAACAATGAGCTAAGACTTACATGTAAGATGTCTAAATCTACGCCATATCCCTTACAAACCTTAACGATAATTCGCTGAAATACAAGTTAGCCTAATATGTCATTAAGCAAACAAACGCTGGAGTTAATATTTGATATGCCGATTTTTGCTAATTTTAGACACATTCCAAAATATGCTCACCATTTTTAACATTAATATCTCCGTGAATTTTTAAGTTAAATACAACTGTAATATATCAAAATCTAAGTTAGTCCTTCCTCTATTTAATGCAAGTTATTTCTCTTTAAAAACTTTACTTGTTTAGAAGTTATTACGAATCAAACAGGAGTACTTTTTTTTGGGCCACCCGGTATATCCAAGACAAGACTTGTTTTATTTGCTTATAATAAAACCTATAAACATGTCCCAACTAATTCCCAAAAATTTCCGGCTTGGAACCTTCGGGCTTTTCGTTCAATTAAATAAACAAGCCTTCGAACTAGTGAATTTAAGCCAATTACAAACAGGAAAGAATTTCTTGCCTTGGCGTGGAAACTGTAATCTCCCAAGAGTTGCTTGTTTGGCAGATAATAAAATAATGTGTTTGTATGGGAAAATATTGTGTGCAATAGAACTTATAAGGCATACCATATTGGTGTATATTGGTCACTGCAGCATGATGGTACTAACTTGATCAAGTAAAGGTTATCCCAGTCTTGGGACATGATGAAGATTTGACCAAGTCCTAGGATTCAATGAAAATTTGATCAAGTCCTAGGGATGCTAGGATGGATGAAGTTTAATCAAATCCTAGGAGTGGATGACGTTTTGATAAAGTCCTAGGACTGGCTGAAGTTTTGGTCAAGTCCTAGGACTGGATGAAGATTGAATGAAGTCCTAGGATTGGATGAAGTTTTATCAAGTCCTAGGACTGGATGAACTGGGTGTACCTTTTACAAGAAAAATTGTAATATGCACTAAATAGAGTTAGATAAAAAAAAAATGTCGAAGATCTCTTTTTTATACTCCCATACTTTATTTTATCTATTGAAAACAAACGTCTGGCATATATTTCAATAATTAATGACTTTTGTCAAAATTCCTAACCAGAAGATGATGCATAAAATCGGGTTATGTAGAAGTATCATAATCCGGGCATACAGATGCCACGGCGACTCACGCGTACATAATCTCGTCAAAACATGTAAACATACCACTTTGTAAAATAACTATAGGCTATCAGACTCAACAAGTATATATCCAACACTAGAGATAAGATACAGCCAATCTGTCTGTGCGTATATTTATGTTTGGGGTTGATCTGTGGCTTGGTATGAAGTGACATTGACCGCTTGTCGAATCATATATAAACGAGCGATTAAGTGGCGTATCGTGATGTGTTAGAGTTAATGACAAAAAAAAAACAACCATCCATTAGTATATTAAATATTTTTTTGTACTTCTTGGCATGAAAAAGTATTGATGAGATACTTGTAAGTAAATGGGAAAGATAGATCACAAGATAGACTTGAGCATAAACAGCAATTATAAATTTCAAATTATGCAGCATAAGATGTACTTGAATAAGGCCTGCTCTAGGACCTTAACTCGCCTAAATTTGCAACCCAAAAATGGCCGAGACTTTCTAAAATCGCTTAAACTCGCCTGAAATCACATTAACTTGCAGTTAGATTTTTGCAGCATAAGATGTACTAGAATAAGCCTGCTCTAGGACCTTAACTCGCCTAAATTTGCAACCCAAAAATGGCCGAGACTTTCTAAAATCGCTTAAACTCGCCCTAAATCGCATTAACTTGCAGTTGGATTTTTGCTTAATATTGCCTGGAATTGAATCGCTTAAACTTACATTATCTCGCGGCAAGGCCAGGCGAGTTACCACCCCAGACTAGGCCTTCGAATAGAAAGGGCAGTATGACATACTAGCAGGTAAATAAGACAATAGGTAATAGGAGTACATACATGAAATTAGGTAGCAATAATGGAACACAAGATGTAGAACAGTGCAAAGAGCCAATTTCTTCATAAGTACATTAGGTATGATCTTAA